CATGACGGATAAAACGGATGAATTTGGGTGCTCTGGCATTGGTAAAATAAGAGATTTGCACAGGATGAAATAGTTGTAGAACAAGGACAGCCATCACTCCATTTTTGCAAAACTGCGTGAGCCATTGCCTTTGACTGGAGCCAATTGCCTTACAGGACAATGACCCAAGACACAGCTCCAAACTATAGAAAACTATTAGAGAAGAAGCAGTAAGCTACTATTCACAACGGAGTGGTTAGCATTCTCCAGGTATCTTAACTGTACTGAGCAGGTGAGAGAGTAGTTCAACTGTTAAGACACTGATCCACATTAATGGTGATGTTTCAGGCAACACAGAGTGAAATGTTACCCCAGCAAATAAACAAATAGACTACTAAATGGGTGTGAGGCTGTGACTGATGCAAATGGAAGTTCTCTTTTTTCTTTTTGCAAAAACAAAGTTTGACGAGGAAAAAAAACAATACTATACCAAATAAAAATTGGTTACTAGCCTAGTCAACAACAGAGTCTTGAGTTACCTTTTATTCTTATTTACCTTGCAACTCACATGATGATTAAACATTGATAAAATTAGTACAGGGATACAAATGTTGTCATCTGACTTGTGCCATTTATGCATCAAGCACAACTTTGGATTTAGCCCCACAAGTATTAAACTAAGGAACTATAGCCAACAGCGTCTTAAACACAAACCAGACAGTTTTAACAGATAAAAAAAAATTAAATTGAAAAATTGTACCCACTCGCTTGTATTCAGAGATACTGCCAGAAAACACCTGCCGTGATCAGAGACTAATACCACTCTGCTGAGAGCCCACTACACCCAATGAATACAGATCCCTTTAAAAGTAAAGTAGCCTTCTTTTTAAATGATTATATAAAAAAAAAAAAATTTAGCATAAAGAATTCAGCAGAGTGTGGAGAAATGCAATCTGAGCAACAATATGATTTAAGATAAATAAACTGGTATATTATACAACTTTATAGTCACAAGTGTGACACAAATAAATAGTCAAGCATCTATACCATTGCCAAATCATGATTAATGACTGCAAATGTGTATGGTGCCATTGTTCAAGCTCTATGTAAATTCAGAATATGTCCAACTGCTGGAAACAACACAGGTGGATTTTATACCTTGATTATTAAGGTGATGGATATTTATCCAAATATGTTCATTTTGGAACTAATTTAGTTTGGTTTATATAGATTTAATACAACTTTGCATTAATGCCAAAGAGAGACAGATCATTTATTCTTACCTTTGTAACTCTGGAGGTGGAGTTCTTTTTCTCTTGAGAGGACAAGGATGAACCGGATGATTGAGAAGATGAGGACCCAGAGTCCGATTCTGAGGAAGAGGAATCGGATGATGATCTTTGTCTTGTTCGTATCCTTTCCTTCTTTGAATCTCTTCCTCTCTGCTCCGCTCCACTCACTGAGCTTGACAAACCCTTGCTTTCATCAGCTTCTTTTACTTTTTTGATGGACTCCTTGGCAGCCTGTTCAGTCTTTCCTGAAGCTGCCTGTTCTTTATCCTCCAACACTAGCCTTGTGGCTCTTTCTTCTTTGGGACCCATTTCAGTAATAACAGCAGTGTCCTCCTCAGACTGGATCCTCACAGATCCCGGTGGTGCAGCAGCAACCTGCTGATTTGTCCGTAGCTCTGAATCTTCCTGTTTAACTGAGGGCCTATGTCCTTCAGACTGTCCTTTCCCAACAGTGGTGGGAGAAGTGACAGGTGAGGTGCGAGGCTGTGGGCTATCAGAAAATGTACGGGGCCGCTTAATAACCATAGACGTGGATGAGGGTTGTGCTCGGTCCATTACGAACCGGAATTTTTTAAATGACGAGTGTGGTGAAAGAGATGTTGTTGAAATGGTTGCACTACACTCTGCTGCTTGGCCTTCGCTCTGGGGTTCTGGAGCATGGATTTGCTCCCGGTCTCCTGCCTCTGCTGACGAGTTTATAGCGGGTCCTGTGGAGAGGGGGTGAGGAGTTGGCAGGGGTGTGAGACCAGCCTCAAGGCCACATTTGGATGGAGAAAGGTGACTCTCACTCTCCTTTTCAGCCACCCCAGTTTTATCTTTCTCCAGCTCCAGCTTCCTCTCCCGCTCCTCCTTTTCTTTCTGCACTGCTTTCTCATTCTCCAGCCTTTCATGTTCAAGAGCTTTTTCCCTTTCTTGCTCCAGAGCTCTCTCCATCTCTTTTCTTGCCCTTTCTAGTTCTTCTTGCTGTAGGGCTCTCTCTCTCTCTAGCTTTTCCTTTCTCTCTTTCTCAATTCTCTCCTGTTCAAGAGCCGCCCGTCTCTCTGCCCTCTCTTTTTCCACCCTCTCTCGTTCCAAGGCCTTTTCCCTCTCTATCCTCTCTCGCTCTACAGCTTTCTCTCTTTCGAGTCGTTCTCTTTCTCTTCGCTCTAACTCCAAGGCCTTCTCCCTCTCCAGCCTTTCTAGCTCTAAAGCTTTTTCTCTTTCTCTTCTCTCCAACTCCAAGGCCTTCTCCCTCTCCAGCCTTTCTAGCTCTAAAGCTTTTTCTCTTTCTCTTCTCTCCAACTCCAAGGCCTTCTCCCTCTCCAACCTTTCTAGCTCTAGAGCCTTTTCTCTCTCGATCCTCTCTTGCTCTAAGGCTTTTTCACGTTCTATCCTCTCCTGCTCCAAAGCCTTTTCCTTCTCTAACCTTTCCCGTTCCAGAGCCTCTTCTCTCTCAATCCTCTCCTTTTCCTGCCTCTCAGCCTCCAGAGCTCTTTCTCTTTCTAGCCTTTCTCGCTCACGCTCCAAAGCTGCTCTCTCCATTTCTTCTCTCTCGCGCTTTTCCCTCTCCTCCCTTTCTCTCTGCAGCCGTTCTTGCTCCAGAAGTTTAAGTCTTTGAAGCTCAGCCTGCCTTTCAAGCTCCAAGGCCCTCATTTGCTCTTCCCTCTCTTTAGCCAAAGCTTGCTCCCTCTCCTGTCTCTCTTTTTCTAGAGCAAGTTCCTTCTCCTTCTGCAAAGCCTTCTCTCTCTCTTCCTTTTCTAAGGCCTGCTGTTGCTCAAACCTCTCTCTCTCCAAAGCTTGCTCTCTTTCTCGCTCCAGTGCTAGGGCTCTCTCCCGCTCTTCCGCCGCGGTACGTTCTTGCCGACGTTTTCTCAGCTTCTCTTGTCTTTCTAGGTCAGACTCCATCTCTCTGACCCTCTCATCAGGCACAGTGGGCTCAAGTGTACTCACAGGTACGTGAATATGGGCTGAATGTGCTCCTGTAACACCCTGATTGGTGCCTGGCATTATTGGAAATGGTACATGCTCTGCAGTGTTAGAGGTGTGAGTGGTGGCAGATACCAGGCTCTCTGGTGGTCCTCTGCCAGGAAATGATGTAGCTGAGGATGAATTGCTTTCTTGCCTATCAGCTTCACCATCAGTGCCATGCCATCCTCCTCCGGAGAAAGCACCTTCTGACTCCATTTTACGTGCCAGAAGGGTTAGTGGGCCAGGCCTGCGTTCAGCATGTCCACTCCTTTGTGGCTCAGGGCTGCTACTACGGCTACCACCGCTGGAGGAACCAGAGCTGGAAGAACTGGGGGAACGCCTGGCTTGGGGAACATCTGGACTAGGTGGACTCTGTTTAGGGGTGTCAGGCAAAGGGAATGATAATTCTGGTGGAGGGGAAGGAGGCGGTGTTGGCTGGCGGAGTTGAGGTGACAAAAGAGAAGGGATGTGTTGCTGCTGCGGTTGACGGGACGCTGCAGACCTCTCCCTTGTTGTGGGTCCCCTGGCTGGCTCTCTGAAGTTTCTCCTTCGAGCGCTGCTGTCCCAGTCGTCATCGTCACCGTCCTCGTCACCGTCCTCGCTGTCGTCATCGTCGCTGTCACCTTGGACTTCACTGGATGCAGAGCCTCTCTCTGGCCTTTGCTCAGCGGCAGGAACACGCATCGGCACAGAACCAGAAGCAGGTGGACTGGACATGTCAGCCTCCTGGTTTCTGTTTGCTTGGCCCTCATTTACCGCACCCAACAATCCCTCTTCACCAGAGGTGCCAGCTGGCTTGTGCTGCTCAGGTAATGCTGGTGTGACATCCTGACAAGAACAGAAAGAGAGCGCAGATTTATTTATTATCCCCTCCCACAATTTTAATCAGAAAGTTACTTTTACACCTAATACTTAAGAAGAGAAAGTACAATCTAACCTGGGCTGGAGGAGGACACGGTGTACTATTGTTGACTTCTGCGTGCTCCTCTTGCTCTGTTCACAAAAGAGAAATAAACATAAAAATCACAAGATTTTACAATAACCATCCATAATGTGTACAATATTTTATTCAACACAACTTGCCATTTGTATCATATGCTTCACGAGCCTCTCTCTCCAGACGCTGCCTCAGTAGCTCCTGTTGCTTAGCCAGATACTGCTTTATAAAGCTGTTCTGGCTCATTTCCTCACCAATCTAAACACACAGAGAAATTTTGAAATACAATGCAAGATCTCAAGGCTAATAACGCATACTTTTTGCAGACATTTATGAGGTTGTGTAAATGCACGGTTTGCCATATATACATAAAAGGCCATCACTTATCAAGACACTTCAGCCTTTTATATGAAACTAAAACTATCTTTGAGATTCACACCTGAGAGTTTGGCTGTAGTCCAATATGAGCTGTGGAGGTCCTCTGCAAGTTCTCCAGCATGAGAGCCTGTTAGTGAGATAAGAGATGTTTTTAAGCAATAAAAGGAGAACACTCTTTCATGGGCAACCTTGTAACTGCACTCTATTCAGTAGTATGTTTTATCACATCCGCTGATATTTCCGCCCTTGACAAAATATAATGAGTTTCTATGTACTAAATGTAACAAATATCCTTAAGCATCGCTGCTCCTCTTTTATAATAATGTTAGACTTGGAGAATTTTGTCTTTGATACTTTTTTTAGAAAGCCTGCGGTTGTGAGAAACTACAAAACTTGTTGACAAACGAAGGAGGATGATATGCAACAATGTTCCCATGTAAGATGGTAAAGGACATGGGAGTCTGTCAAACAATAATTGACAAGGTTACTCTAAAGCTGTGGTCAAACACCAACCAGTGATCAACTTATCTTAAATTTCATTGATCACCAATGAAACACCTTGTATAAATCTATGCACTATTACTACTACTTTATTCATGATCTATTACTTTGCACGTAGACATAGTTGATCTTTTACATTGCTATTATGTCCATTATAATGTCACTGTCATTATCAGATGCTGGTAGGAAGAAACTGTTAATAACCCAATGGCTTTATATGAGCTTTGCGAGTACGTTAGCTGGTAACTACGACTAAAATAATCAACATATTCTGGGTTTTGTGAGAAAAGAACCACTGTCTGGCGTAATATAGGTTATATAAACGCAATGCAAACAGACAGTAAAGCGTTGATGGCTCAGTGAAATAATGTAATCGGGACTACCCAGTAACAAAAAGAAAAGAACGCCCTAGCTATCTTAATAAGGTTTGACGATCTGTCGCAATGAAAAACAAACAAGCTCAAGACCAACGGCAGCTCACGGGCCTGCTGCAGATTTTGAGGGAAACTACTCCTAAAACTAGCCAATGCGTTTACCAACAAAACGGCAAGAACGTTAATTAAAAATTGCGGGTTAGCCGCTAAAAGTTGTCGATTTTCTCATTAGCTCTAAGTGGTGAAATGTTAATCTGCTGGACAAACTCACAAGAGCAGTGTACACATCGTTAAAAGCAGCATACACAGCAGCAAGCGAGTCGCTAAGGCCACTGATCAACTCATAGCGTTAGCCAGGAGAGCTAACGAGCTAACGGGACAACATCAACCCGAGACACAGTTTAGGATTAGCCGATAAGTTGAGTGAAGTGCCAGTCTTTCCGTAGCTGGAACATTTCTACAGGGCCACAGCACTGCATAACCACAGCGCTGACAAAATAAAGACATTTACAGCTGGTGAATGAGCTTTAACCTCGATAACTCTACTACGCTCAGCAGTAACGATACTCAGTTGTCGGCCCTCGAGAGAGCATCAGCCCGTCTCTTCGTTAACGTTAGCTTGCAGCGACCGTGGCACCATATATCGCAGTAAAACTCACCCCCTTGAGTCTTTTGATGAGAGTATTCTTCTGGCCGCTCTTCGACAGCCCCCTCTCCTCGAGAGCGGCCTTTAAGTCCGCTACTCGAAGGGACTGGAGCGGTCTCCCGTCCAGCGTAACGTCTTCAAGGTCCGCCATTTTCCGTTCCTCTTGTCAGTTCCCAGCGAGAGCGACGATCAACGCCTTCATCGACGTCACGTCATCGCCGACGACTTCCCCCCGAAATCAAATATCAAATAAAATAAAACGTTTATAAATATTTTAAATCCCAGACCAAACCAAAATTACTTTCATAAGCCAAACGTATTACTTGAAATGGCATCGTTAAAAAATTATGGTATTTATATTTAGATGTTGTATGCGCCACATCTTGCGCAACATCTGCGCAAACCTGACTTCCTACACAGCACAACTAGTTAACTGCACCCCGCTTCCTGTTAGCAGCTCTGGATTTACGTGACTGTCGTTCGGCTTCTCTGCACCTCGACTATGTCGGTAGTGAGTTGATATACGTTTTAAAATAATGGGGAGTCACAACTCTATATCTTAAAGGTAGTTATTAGCTAGCAATAGCGACTTTAAAGTCAGAGCCCGCCCGTTTGTGCTCCTTAAACAAAACGTTAAGCTAAGCTAAATGGATTATTGAGCTGTTTAAGATGTCGTGGTTTAATTATGTCAGTCAAAGCTCAAGTCAACACCAGCCCACTGACAATCAAGGAATTGCAGGCATCCTGTGCAGTTCTCCCAACCCAGTGTTCACGTGCCCTGCGAGTTTCCCTTCTCCCAGCTTGTGTGAATTTCCCCCAGCTCCTCAAGGTGTAGTCAGCCCTCCCAGCCTCGAGAAGCTGTCCTGCGCTTCTCCGAGTGCAGGTCAAGTTAGAGAGCCCGAACCCATCTCCTACGTAACCTTCCAGGAGCAGCGGTGTGTCCTGAGCTGGTTCCAGAGCTGGACTCCCGTTCAGAGGGAGCGGTTTCTCCAGGACCTTCTGGGGAAAGCTGTGCCGGGGAAAGTGTGCACCCTCCTAGACTCACTCAGCACTCTCCAGGTACTTTATGCAAACTTGCAAACACATGGTCTGGAGAGGAGTGCCATTTCTAGTAAATAACTGGCGCTTTCTTCCTCTGTGTAGGTTAAAGACAAACTTCCAAACATCTTTGAATGCCAGCTCCGCCTGTGGACGCAGTGGTTTGAGTCTTGGGGAGAAGAGGAGAGGAATCATTTCCTACACATGCTGGAAGAGCGGGACCCGGATTTTGTTACCCACTTTTACAGGAGTGTAGCGGGTACAGCAGGAAGAGACTGAGCAATGTTTGCATTGTGATAGAAAAGCAAGTAATAAAGGGGTGATGTGTGGTGTGGAAAACACATTCTCTGAGTCTCTTTGTAGAAAATTTAGCCTTCTTGTAGATCGTAGTGTTCGTATACGTTTTGTAAGTAAAATTCTGCATGCCTGCTCCGCCGGGTTTTTGGGTTTTTTTTAAAAGTTTTTAATTGATTGACACGAATTTGTAAATAAACAGGTTTAACATCTAGCTGTGGGTTAATATCTAAACAGGCTTAGCTCTTCTGTGAGGCAATTAACACATCTGGAATAACATGGACAAGAAACACTTTTTTTTGAAAAACAAAAAAAAACAAAAAATTTAAGAAAGAAATTTAATAAAAAGCAACCGCCGAAAAAACCCAGGAAAACCTAAAAAAAAACAAAAAACAAAAACAAAAGAATGAAAAAAAAAAAAACCGGGAAAAAACAAGAGAGTTAACAGCATGATTCAAATCAAAGAGAATAGGCAGACTTAAGGTTGGCTTTAAAGACAGGGAGAGAATGTTGCAAGCATGGTATATTTGTTTTACTGTCTGAAGCATTTAATAGCAACAGTAGCAGAAATATGTGCACTCATTCTTCAGTTATTATTTTATTTCCCATACTCGTAAATGTCACACATTTTGACATGGGTGCGGACAGAACTTCTCGTGACCCTTATTTTATCCAGTCAGTTGCTCCAGGAGTAATTAAAACTACTGGATTTGGAGCGCTGCCATCTTCTACACAGAAATTGACAAATGGATAAATTTTTCCTGTGAAGTGCTGACCTACAAAAGAATACATATGAGTTCTGGACCCTGAATCATAAAACGAGATGGTTCCCTTTTTGTAATCTAGCAGGATACCCAGGGTAACTGGTTGTATCTCAGTAGGAATGGGAACCGTTCTCCTCTGCTCTATAGCTCTGTACTGACCCTGTTTGTCCAGGACTATAGTCCAGTAATCATTGTTTGGACTGAAGGGTATTGATCCCTTTCTTCGAGAAGATTCACTGGTCATCCCAAGGTGGTAACAGGTCTTTCCAGCTACTGAAACCTCCCAGTAATGCTTGCCAGATGAGAAGCCAGTGGCACCTAGGGCCCCCAGAATCACATCAAACCGTCTTGGATTGTTGGGGACGTCTTGTATAAAATCTGCAGTGGACATCTCGGTTTCATCATCAGATAAAACTATTCTTGGGTGCGCTGTGTCTGGATCGAAGGTCATCTTTGCTGTTAAAAGAAACACCATCTGAAATCAGCATGCAGTGAAACAACCCTGATAACACAGATGGCATAATTTAACCTTAATGTGGAAAATGTAAGGGTGTGCTTTAAAGTTATATAGACGTTTTCACACAACAGGCTGTTGTATGCAGTGTGAGTAGTCGTGTATTTTTTTTCATGGCATCTGTGCAGCTTTATTAGCTTTAAACAAAAGTGCAAAGAAAAAGAAAAAAGAAACAAACTTTCGTGTGTGACTCACAGGTATGGATGGTCTTTTCTTCTATATCACCTAGTTCCCTTTGAAGCCCTGAGGGCAGAGTAAGAAGAGAATGTCTGTCAGAGGATTTTGTGTCATAACAGTTTTACTCTTTGTATGTTTCTGGGCTAAACTAGAAGTTCTACAATTTCCTGAGGTTTGTTTTTCTCAGCTTGCAGGTCTAACAAGAAGATTAAATTATCCAATTAAGAATCTCACATTCACTACTACCCACTTTCCCATATTATACTGAATCTGCTCATTCTGTGGCTTGAACATACTGTCAATATTATTCTGCAGTTTGTTATTCTCCCTGTTCTGTCTTTGTAACTCCTGCTCCAACTGGTTGAGCTTGGCATCCTTCTGATGTAGCTCCTGCAGCTGGTGGTCTGCATCATCATGGCACTGCTGCAAATCTCTTCGCAAGTCTGTTTGATGAAATACATACTTCAGAACCTCAAGGAGTGCATCTGTACAATATATCCACACAATAATAATGCGGTCACATTGGGAATCTTACCTTCACACTCCTCTGGCGGTTGAGAGCAGCACATCTTCAGCTCTGTGACTTCCTGCTTTAGGTCTGACAGAGGGAGAGAGATTAAACATGAAACAGCTAAATGAGAGTCACATTTGGATAGTTTTGGATGTTTTGAGAAATGCATTTATTTGTCCTTGTTTAATTTTAGATGAAAAGATGTCAGAAAGTAAAGTTTATTTATTAAGCACTTTTCATAGACAGACAGTCACAACATGCTCCAAAGAAAGTACACTCTCTGTCAGTTCCAAGGTTTGATGTTTCCAGACATAAAGAAAATCTGGTTCTTATCATACCAGACAGAAATTAAGTAAATACAACCTCAGATGCACAAAAAGTAGTTCAAAAACAAGAAGCAGTGTGTGGAAAATGAACTACACCATTAGTGAACTACACCACTCTTTCAATGATGAACATCCTGGACAGGGAGGAACGGTGATTCATTTACGTGAAAAGGGAAAAACCATCTCTGAATCGAGAAGGGGGCCTAAGGGTACATCTTTTGCCATCTTACAATGCTGTGATTGCAGCCATTCCCCAACTCTCTGTGAATGGGACTCATGGCCATCGATCAGTGGTCTTTGATCAGTGGTTGTTGATCAATGGTCATGAGAATTTGCATAATTAAGATTAAGAAACTGACCTCCCAGCCCATTGTTCCTCAGTGGGCTGGTTTCAGTCATTATGCAAATATGCTGTTTATAAGATTGGGGAAACCTGCAGTCAGCTGAGACTGAAGAAGTCAGTTGGATGAGTGACGAAACGTTTCTCCCACTAAAAAAAAAAACAAACAAAAAACGCCACATCCAGATGAACAGAATCAACTTTGGGAGAACTACACCCTTACTGCTTCCATAGGAATTAGGAGGGTAAGTGGCAGGGTTGAAAGGCCATTTCCAAAAAAAAAGTCCATAATTCTACAGTGAGAGAATCGCGAAAGTGGAAAATATTCAAGACAGTGGCTAGGATATTGCAGCAAATGTACCATGCTATACTCAGAGAAACTGGGGCAAAAAGTGCTACATCTGAGACTCTATAAGCCTCAGTTCACATGTTAAATGTTAAAGTTCATGACAGTAAAACTAGAAAAAGACCGAAAAAGTTGTTTGGAGAAGACTCAAGTGAGAGAGTTTTATTGTGAAATACGGGACAGCCTGATAATCTGTCTAAGGGCCGAGAACAGAGTATCGTTACTGCCGAGCGTAGTAAGAGTTATCAAGGTTAACATTCATTCGCCAGCTATAAAAGCCCCTATTTGTTTACTGCAGCCACAGGACCCGGGCACCTCACAGTCACTGAGTCACTCAGAAATGCATCTGTTTTTCCATACAGTGCTTCTGCCTTTTGGTTTAGGTTTTGTTAGGTAAACAATGACGGTGTAATATATCATGTTTTGCAGTTCATCTGTGCTTGTATTTAAGACCCAATACTTTCTTTTTACACTGACTGATTGTATTGCCACTAGCTAGTGAGCTTAACATAAAGACTGCAAAAAAAGGGAAAACAGCTTGCCCGCCTCTATTTCTGCTCAGCAATTTGTCTAATCCATACATGACAAACATCGAGTTAGAAAAGTACATAACAAATAGAGAAAGCCAGGTTAGCTGTTGCCCATAATTTCTAGTTCCTTTTAGCTAAATGAATGCATTATACTATAAGAGTTAAACAGATGTTTAAATCCAACCCTGATACATGTTTGCGACAAAATATCAAATTAATTTTGTGACTACCTGCAATATAAAATACAAACCTTTGTTTGCAGCTTCAAGTTTTTTATTCTTTGTTTCTTGTGTTTTTAGTTTCTTCTCCACGTCTGACAAAGAAAGTAAAAAAGTACTTTTAAACAGGATTTAAGATCAAGCAGAAATGTGTTGCAGGTCTTCAAAATATTTATGAGATTGACTCTACATGCACTAAATTGTTAAATGACTGACCTTTGATTTTGTCAGATGTCTGCGTTTCAGCCTCTTTCAGTTTCGCCCTCAGATCAGCAATCTCCATCACTAGTGGAAATACAAAAAACTGGAATATTATATCGTACTAAAAGGACACCAACAGCATGAAACCAAAAAGCAAATTCAACAATATTCATACCATATTTATAATTCTCTGCATCTATATGCTCAAGTTGACTTTCAGTGTCATCCAGCTGCCTCTCTTTCAACTTTAGTTTCCTTTGAAGGTCTGAAAATGCGTCGAGATTAATAAACACAACCATTAGCTTAAAATACAGGTTACTTCATGCAAAATATAGATTTCAAAGTTTGTTCTGTACCTGCAAGGCTCTTAGTATGAGCCTCTTTGAGGGCTGCTATGTTATTTTCCAGTGGCTTAATTTGCTCGTGAAGCTCCATAATCTGAGCAGCTAAAACAAAACACAAACATTATGGACTCTGATGCTGTTTGATATTTCATCCTTGTTGCTGACTGAACCAGAGCAAAATACTTACACAGATTAGCAATATTTATATCTTTTCTATCCAGCAGGTCTGTCTTTTGTTGTATCTCATTCCTGATGGCCTCCAGTTGATCTTCCAGATCTACAAAAACAGGCAAAAGTGATGTTTTACGTCCTTAAAATATCTGTAGTATTACTATGATCACATCTGAGGAGAGCCCACTGCATCCCACCTTTAATTTGTGCTTCTTGTGTCTCATTCTTCCTGTTTTGTTGCTTCTTCAGTCTTGCTATTTCATCTTGCTGATTCAAGATCTGAAATGCTATTAAAAAAAGAAAATCATCTTCATGCATGATCAGTGCATCCAGGTAAGGAAATCCCCGAAAAATTAAGTCTGTTCTACCGGACGTAGCGTTTTCAGTGGGAGAAATGTTCCGTCACTTGAAAACACTCACTGAAAGCACTACATTCAGATAAACAGACTTTTTGTGATAAACATACATGTGCATACATATTAAAGACAAAGAAGAAGAGAGCGAGGGAAGTATTTTATTCTGACTGTTACTCACTCAGCTTAATATTTTCATTCTGTTCATCTTTAATTCCCTCTATCAAAGAATTGAGCTCTTCTTGACGTGCTGGAGAAAAAAAGATGAGGAATTACTTTTTTTTTTCCACCGAATGCATGTATTTTATTTTTTAAGAAGTCATTGCTTTACACTATGTGCAGGTAAGATATGTCACTCACCTTTAATCTTCTCGTCATCTGTATCATTTTCAGCCACAGTGACCAGTTTCTCGATTTCTGTTTGCAGTGCAATAATCTGCAGAACTGAAAGAAGGTTGGAACACTTATAAGTATTTGTACCTGAGTAAGTAATCTGGATTCTTTTAGCAGGTTGTTTGTACTCACGTCGTTGTGGTTGAGTACTTCTCTCTTTCAGCTCTTTTGTTAGTTTGTCCAGCTCCTCGTTCTTTCCATCTATGGCTTTTTGGAGCTCTGCAGATCAGACAAAACTTTGTTTGGGGGGGATTTATGCGTAAATGTAAATATTTATTTAGCTAATATTAAAGCTGTACAACAACCCTTTAATGTACACCATGTGAATACTGGACCCCAGTAGCGCTGCTTACTTGACAATGAAATACACTCACCATCAACCTTGGATTTGGACACAGAGTTGTTCATTTGTGCTTTCAGTTGCTCCACTTGCTGAGTTAATGTAGAAATTTGTAGAGCTGAAAGAATCAGTCAGAATAAACATCAGCGTTCACTGTTCTCATCTAAGACACATGAAAATGTGCACAACATCTGCGAATAGTAAAACATTGAGAATGTGGAGAAAGAAATCATGGCAAATCTTTTTTTTGACATATTAAGATATATTCAGATATTTTAATATTCAGATAGTATGATGTCATCATATCACCTAGCAACCACCCAGTAAAGGGCTAAAAAGTTCCTTTTCTTATCAATTATGCTCCTATAAAAACATAAATGTATTTTTATTGCACAACATTAACATCAAGTTTAAATTCAAAAAGTCTGATTGACACCATCCTATTGCAAAAACCTAGCAAGTGGCTAAAAATGACATTTTTTGCCTTTATGCACCTACATGCACCTCCTTTTATTTGGATATTATCTTATTATGAGGCAGCTAGTTTTATTTATATTCACAAAGTTGAATTACACATGCCTACCAACCACCTAGGACCTTGTGAGATTACCCCAACCCCCAATGTGATTAAGTATATCAAACAGCCAGCTGCACAAATAGGCCAAACACTACAGTGGCACTACTGTAGCGTGGGCATGTAGTAGTAATTATAATAAATAACGCAGTACATTTGCAGCTCTTGCTTGACCATGAGTGACTCAGGCGTTCCCCTAATAACTACAAAATTGCATCATCATGAATTAAACCTTTTTTGTTGAAGGTGATAAAAAGTTAAGTAAAATATGATTTACAGCTTCTAAAATCTTCACTTTTAAATCAATATCATAGGAAAAAAATGAATATATTATGATGAATTTGACAGCTTAGAAGGTTTTTTATTCAGAGATTCAACACTCACCAAGTGAAGTAACAGAGCTCGATTTGGACTGCAGCTCCTTGATTTTGTCATTCAGGCTTTGCTGCAGATCTGCACAGAGACATTTATTATGGGTGCTGATCACAGAACAGTTTTCTGTATTTAGCAAGAATAGCAAGTCAAAGATTACACTCACCTGTAATTTTCTGCTTATCATCTGAACATCTTTCTGTCTTGTTCAGTTTTTCCTGCAAGTCTAAGAGAAAGGTTACATTACTAAGCAATAGTCTAGGCATTATTTTTTGATACAGGTCAGCATGAAAGCTCATATTGTTATATTTTGTTGGCTTTCAGTGGGTTTTGACTATGAGTTTGTAAAACTATTCATTCCA